AAGAATTCACGTGTACGCGTAAAGCCAACACAAACATTTGACGGAAGTACACCTTGGAAGGACTACAAGGCATATTTTTCTACATGTGTAGAGAACAATGGCTGGACTCCAGAGGAGAAAAGGCAGTATTTGGCTACTAATCTTCGTTGAGATGCCCAACAATTGGTGCTAGAACTGGAAGAGAGCTATTCCTATGAGGACTTAATAGAGGCCCTAGAAAAGAGATTTGGACCAGGGGGGAAAGCCGACGTGTTTGAGGCTGAGTTGTGCAACCGCACACGAAAGCCAAAGGAGTCCCTTCAGAGTTTGGGCCAGAATATCCGGCGTTTAGCTTCGTTAGCCTATCCTGAGATGAGCAGGATGGCTCAAGACAGGCTTGCCAGAAGGAGCTTTGAGCAAGCCATACCAGATGATGATTTGCGACAAGCCATTCACAGGAAGGATCCAGAAAACTTGATAAGGCCATTGAGGTAGCTCTCAAAGAGGAAAGCTACCAAGAATCCGAAAGGATCAGAAGAGGCCTAAAATCTAAGAGGGATCATAAAATCTTGCAAGTTGATGAGGAAGATGATATAAATACTAAACTGCAGCAAATACTAAAACCAGTGGAGCAGTTACTCGAAAAGACACTGGGAAAGATGAGTAAGGATATAGCCGATATCGTTAACAGAGGACCTTCAAAACGTACATTCAGTTGTAAAAAGTGCGGAGAGGAGGGACATAGAGTAAGATGGTGTCCAACAATTACATGTTATAATTGTGACAAACCTGGGCACTTGTCATTTGACTGTCCATTACCTGAGAAGCCAAAAAGAGAGAAAGATCAGTCCAGGACAGTAACCACCAATTCTGTGACTCCTGTGAGGTTTATGGCAGATCGTTATGAGGAGATAACTACAGGGAATAGAGAGGAGCTGGTGCGGAAGATAGTAGCAGATGTGGATATCTGTGGGACTAGGATGGAATTCCTTGTTGATTCAGGGGCTGTAAGCACTATGATAGGATGGGGTTGCTACAATCGTATACCAAAAGAGCATCGCCCTCCTCTGAGACCCTTAGATCGACTCTTCACACAGGCAGATGGATCCCATTTAGCTGTGTATGGAATGATAACATGTGACATTGAACAAGATGGTAAAGTGATACCTATGAATATAGCGGTAGCAGATATTGCCTCTGATGGTATCCTTGGGTCAGAGTATTTATCTGCAAGCGGAGCTATTATTGATTATCCTAATTTGAGAATTTACTTCAAGGATCAAGAACAAAAGGCAGAGGAGATAATGCTGTGTTCCTACTGCCACTCACAGAGGAGTAAACTTGAGATAGATAGGTACAACATAAGGGGAGATTCATATAAGACCGAAAAAACGATGTTTGATAGGAATGTGGATGCGGATGACACAGAGATGATGGAGTTTCCTGATAGCGAGGATACTGACGAAGGCTGCCCAGAGCCAAGAAGAGATATTACTAAGTTTGAATCTGGAGAGAGTGAAGAAAAATCCACTGAAAGACAGTATGATATCCCTGATACAAATAGTGATGGTCCGAGCAATGAGCTATCCTTGCATAAGAACCAGAATCTTACACTTAAGGAAAACTCATCCATGAGGGAAATAATGAGGAATAATGAGAATAAATCAGATGATCTTAGAAATCTTGTTTTGAAGAGTAAAGGGGCGGGTCTTACTCATAGGGATTATCAGGAGAGTGGAATGCGAACCCAAAGTGTGAACAGCAAGGGAAGACTGAGAAAGTCAAAACAAGTTGGCAAGAACCCTACATTGGTGGAGTATGAGATGAAAAGGTCAACTCCCAATAACCAGAATTTTGGGAGTAGAAAGGACAACTGTACTGGGAGGGATAGCCTAGTACATAGTAAATCTTTTAGGAGCAATGAACCATCGAGGAGCCAGAGAGAACAGTCTACTCTGAAGAGAGCACTTACAGGGAGTACTCATGAAACTCTCACTTGGGATAATACTCAAGAGAGTAGATTAAAGAGGCCCAATAGAGACAAGGTCCACGAGCACAAGGTGGTAGCTCACAGGAATTTAAAGGAGAGGAAGATATGGCCACTTGAGAAAGACTCTGGTGGACAGGAGAGCAAACTAAAGGAGTTGACTATGAATCAGCCATTCATCAGGAGCAAGGCTAAGAAGTTTAATCAGAGGAATGATCAACTGAAGAATAGAGTTCCCTGTAGACAGGAGTTACCATTGATGGAGGAAGCAAATATTGTTCCAGTTATACGACCATTGGTAGGAGGTACCAATGAGCCTTTACTGAAAGAAGATGCGCTAAGGAGTAATATAGAGACTCCAATGCCAAAAAGATACCATTTAAGAAGCAGAAGGGTAGAACCTACTCAGACAAATGGAATGTCTGTGAGAAGAAGAGGTGCCCCAAGAGCAGAGCCTACTCGGAGAAGCAAGGTGTATGAGAACACATTAGAGGAGCCTATAGTAGAGAAAGAGCATGTTTCTCAAGGGACAGTCACTCCTCAACTCATGGAAATGAAACGCTCGCTGGAAAGGATGATACCAGTTTTAAATACATTTGGGTTAGCATCAGGCCATACATCGGAGTCGCGTAGATGTTTGGAGGAGGTGCATAGAAAGGCCATCGATGTGCTTGAGTTGATAATACTTCCTGAGGAATGTGAAAACAACAAGATCAATGAGTAGATAGAGACTGAATGGTTTTTCTCAGTCATGGACATTAAGTCATATATTAAAACCAATAGACACTTGAGATTTTGATTTGATGTAAAGAGATGGGAGTAAAGGTTGAGTAATTGGAACATTATAGACTGTAAGATGTTAAATGTTCTTATATGTTATTTTTATAGTTTATTGAACTTTAGATTTAGATTGTCATTTACTCATTACTCGAGTTAAAGAGTAGCAATGCGAGGGCGCATTGATTTAAGATGGAGGGTGTGTGGGAAATTTAGGAATTCCCCACTTTATGTTATTTTAATTAAATTGTAATAATCTTTAATAAATTTAAAAGTTAATTGTTACATGTCATTAACAATTTAAGAGGGACTCTCCCGGGAGTTTTTAATTACACTGGACCGAAAGGTAAAGGGTATTTCCCCTAAAATTGGTCACGTGGGATCCCTGATTTAGAATAGTTGAACCTGGGGCTAGAAAAAGAAGAAGCGTGAGGAAGATGGCGGCCATTTAGCTTTGGATTGATGCTGAAACTTGTGGAGATAGCGTAGGAGATAAGTGTAATCTGTCATTAAGGATAGTGACATTTATTCGAGAAGTATTTTGTGCTGTTGTTGAGGCAGTTTAATCTACACGGAAGTAGGTTTATTGGACGTTTTGGAGAGGGAAAAGCGGGAGAGAATCAGGGCCATGTGTGGTGTGACTACCTGTTGATGACCTGAAGTTGGGAGTAAGGTATCTAGAAGCAGGAAGACGCATGTGGTAAGGTTACCTTTTTCTATGGCTCGTATTCCATAGCTTCAAATTTTGTTGAGGATAATGATGTGCTGATCATCTATTATTTTGAGAAACAGTGAATTATATATAAGACTTTATTAAAGTTGCATTTATGTGCGTTGTATTTCCAAGCTAAATATTTCCATCTGGCTGCCAGTGTTGTCTTCCAAGTGTTTGATATCTAAGCCTGTGAATTTGATTCTCAGTTGCGGCATCTAAAAGTGAGCTGGAAGTAACTGTCACTTCCTGCGGAACTACCAGAGAGTGACTGGGAATAATTGTTGTTTAGTGTTGAGCAGAACCTGATTTATACAGTATTTCCATGCTTATATCAGTTTGAGATCTCAAATAACCTTTCTATAGTTGTGCTTTTAGTGTTTTCCTACTTTTGCTAATAAAAAGGGGAATCTATATCTCTTTAATAAATTAATTCATCATCCTTTAGCTTATCTTAACAAATACTCATTATTTCATTCTCTCAGCGCTTCTCTTGTACCATTGAAGAGCCAAAGATATTTGTGAAGTAAATTGATCTTTTGCCTTTGCTCCTCATGTGAATTATCAGGGAGTAATATAGATTGTGCATTTCTCATTAGAATTACTCATCTCCAGCATTGTTTCACTCTTATGGTAAGAGCTAATTTATCCAGGTTTACTCATTGGGCTTACAGAATCTACCAGTGAGCTGAGAGTAATTATTACTCTCCGCGGAACTAACAGAGAGTAAGCCAGGAGTAATCTGAGAGTGGAAAGAGTAATTTGAAGAGCAGTTGGGAGTAACTTGTGAGTAGAGTGAGCCCGGAGTAAGCTGGGAGCAGAAGGAGTAAGGAGTGATCGTAGGAGTAATTAAGGAGTAATCTGATCCTTGGAGCAATTAAGGAGTTACCTGGGACTAGGAGTAATTGGGAGCGTAATCAAGGAGTAATTTGAGAGCAGGAGGAGTAAATTGACAGTAATCATATTAGCAGAGGAGGAGCAACTTGAGGAAACCAAGAGTGAATTGGAGTAAGCTGAAGAATAGCCAGGAGTATTATTAATTTTGATGTGAGGAGTAACCCAGCAGACTAACTTTGTTTCTGAGGAGTAACCAGAGTAACAATCCTAGAGGAGACGAAGCATCTTAGTGTATATAATTTTCTGGACATTGTGATTAATGTTGGTTTAGGTGTAATTTGGGGATGACAGACATTTGAACATTCATTGTGCCAGAGCATTTGAGTAATGATAAGGACTTTGAAATTACTCTTTGAGAATAGGAGAATAAATAGACAGTAGACATACAGTATTTTGAGTAGATTGCTATTTTATTGTAAATTTTATTGTAATTGTACAAATATATGTGTTTTTGTTGCCATTAATTCTTGTCGAGTATGCTCTCTTAAGCCGCAGTACCACCAAACCAGGTCTGCGCCCACGTAGATAATCTGTGAGAATCCCATAATAAAAATAATTGTTCGTGACTTGACCTCCCCACACTACCACATTTTGGCCAGGTCCGACAGTATGTAAGTGTACAGGAATCAATATCTGTTTTACTTTCAGACTAAATCATGACTGAGGAAGAAGAGGTGAATCAATTTCAATATAGTAATGAGGACTTTAATCAATCCATTCCTTCGTGGGATGTGGAAAATGCAGAGTGCAGTCAGGTTGGTTACAGAAAAATCAGACACATATATTTTATCATAGGCCAAGGAACATGTATAAGATAATATGAGTCCCTGAGAAAAAATCTTTCTACTTAGGACTCTTGAGACTCCGATTGGACAAATTAATTATACATTTTCCTTATGTATTTTATTTACGTAAAGGCTAGAGTACCGACAATTGTCGGTACTCTAGACTCTGATGTGGTGGCACGCTAGAGGACCGACAAATAAATTGTCGGTACGGGAGATATGCTGTGTTTACACGCTAGAGGACCGACAAATATTGATTTCGAATTTTCTGGCGCATGCGCAATGCGCGGGGGGATATTTCAGATATCATACGGATATTTTGGGAACAAGTGCAAAACCCGGGGAGAGGTTCCATATCCATCCGCCAAAAGGTATGACCCCTATATAGTCCATTTAAAAACCCGTGGTATCGTTCTAAATAACCCATAGTTGGCTTCTAGGGTACCTAGTACAGGGCTGTCAACTTGGGACCACCTAATATGAGTGACTTACAAATGTTGGACACCGAAGTCCAAATCTGAACACTTTTGTCCAAATTTTGAACACCTTTGGCCAACTTTTAAACACCTTTGGCCAAAGTTTGAGCACCTTTGCTAAACTTTTATAACCTCAAATTTTTCGCGCTCGCTACGCTCGCGATGTCGTCAACGGGGGGGGGGGGGTAGGTACGAAAATTTCCAATGAACATGCGTGACATATACGGGATTCGCGTGACAAATCCGAACAAATTGCGTTCGTTTTTTTCCGACGTTCGTATTTTTACCGTATCATAAACATATTTGGAAAAATTTTTTACAGAAACATATTTGCGTGACAATTACCAGGTAAAATGCGTATTTGCGTGACATTTTGTGTCACGCAAAAAAAACTGGCGTGACTTCAAATTCTTCAGCAAATGCGTGACAAATACGCAAATTGCGGGACAGTTGACAGGCCTGCTAGTATGCCACTATTTGGTATCAAAATAAAGAGGAGTTCAACTTTCATTTGAATTACGAAAATAGCGATGTAGGTCAAAATAGTTCCGAACGTGAGCATGTTTACTACGCGTTTGCCCGTCATATCAGAATTGAGGAAGTGGTAGCAAACGCGAGTTACAATAAACGGACGCTGATATCTCAAAAAGTAACCTGACTCCCTATAATTTGATGTAGGTCAATCGAACCCCTATATGGACAGGTGCATTTTGATATATAACACTATGGGGGGTAAGCGTTTCATAGTTGGTCACGAACGCCATATATGCAAAGTATTGTTATGAATTTTCGAATTTGGTGTTGGATTACGGTACTCATACCTTATAGCACAATTTTTGATGGAAGTTGCATTTGGCTCCCTTAGTTAATGTCCACGATTCCATCTCGCATGAGAGAGCTATCAAACGCAAAGTAAACAGTGATATATTCCAAATGAGATATTTCTCCTGTGCCATGGCGTAGTAAGGGTAGAGAGCGACGGGGTCGAAAGCATCCCCTCCCCTAACTGTATATATCGACCCATTAGATAGAACAAGAAAAGAGCTTTAAAATGTTTTTTAATTGAAGCTTGTAGGACAATTTTGATGGAAGTTGAATCAATTTTTGTCGAAATAAATTATGGCTCACTACAAGTTAATGCCTGTACGATTCCATACTGCAAAAGAAGCACTACCCCCCCCCCCCCTCAAAAGAAAAAATGTAGGTCTTGCCGGGATTCGAACTCGGGACCGAGTGTGTTCGAGTTCTTCTCGCTAACCACTAGGCTACCAGTGATGAGGTTATTCTAAAAGTAAAAGTAATGGATTTATTTATGAAATTGTCGGCTCTCTAGCAAAAACACGTAGCAGCCACTTGCGTACCGACAATTGTCGGTTCTCTATCTGGCACTACTAGTTGACGATAGAGTGCCGACAATTGTCGGTACCCCAGCAAATACCCCTGGACAGTCTCCAGTACCGACAATTGTCGGTCCTGGAGCCACTCCGTTTTATTTAAGGTTTTCAACTGATGAATTCACTTCATTTCTTAAATTTCAATGCACTAATTAAATAAAACTCTGGTAGTCCATGAAGGTGAACTGACCCCAATTATAATGTTTAAACTCAATTCAGCATTAATAAATTACAAATTTCCTCAAAACGATTTACACTATGAGGATGATTTTATATATACATACATGTACATGTATAACACAGGGTTTCTTCAATATTTCAGTTTGACACAGTGCTTAGAAATGGTTGGGACAAGGCAATGAAAGATGGACGCTTTAGGTACAATTTAGACCATGTAAAAAGCAAGGTTTTACCAGGCGAAAAGAAGTTATTGGTTCAGGTAAGATTGATTTTTATAAAGCACATGTTTTCATTGTAACCCAAAAGAATATCACCAATAATCTTTTTAGTTTTTATGACTAAAGTTTACATACTTTACAGCTCCTGTATTTCTTTCTCTGCATTAAATATAATCATCAATCGTAAAAAAAATTATTTTAAATACACAATTTATTGTTTCACGTTCATTAGAATTCATTTTTATTAGAATAAATGTTAATCTATATTATTCCAAGCCTATCATGCAATGAATTTTTTATTTGATTTTTGATTTTTCAGTTGAATACAAAAAGAGCAACAGAAAGACGGAGGCCTCAAGCTATAATGGGACTTAAACAGGAATTTAATCCGGACAATTTTAATTTTAATAAAGCTAAAAAAGGAGAAATATTAATGGAATTAATATGTAAAAATAGCAATTCTGAAGGAAGTCCTTGTAAAAAGGTAAACCTAAATTAAACTTCATTTATATTTTTTCATAGTTTATGTTTTTATGTCACCACCCCCTTGGTGACATATTGTTGTAGTCTATTACTTTTTGGATCATATTGGTGTTGGTGTGGAGTTGGTGTTTTGCATTCAGCAGTTGGTGTTTGGCAGTCAGCATTTGGTGTTCGGCAGTCAGTGTCTGTAACAAATGGCAGGTGGTGGCATTTTGCATGTCAATGTCTTGTCTATTCAATACAATGAAACTTCACAAAGGGCGACATTAGAAAAACAAAAATATTGACCAATATGAAAAACTATGTCATAGCTGAGCTACTTTAATGTTGTGTAATGTTATCAAAAGCTAGGCCATGCCAATTTTTATTGGGAAGAAATGGTACCAACTGACCTATTTGGCTTAAGATTTGCTTCACCTATTTAAATCTTGTTTGTTTTCAATCTACAAAATATTAAAGAACTGACTGTGTATTGATTCATACATTGAATTTATACCTAATTTATAGTGACACTTTGGGTGACAGATCCTCGCCTTGTTTTCAATCTACAAAATATTTAAGAACTAACTGTTTATGTATTTGTTTATCTTCTAGCAGAAGAAAGGCAGGAACCTGATTCTCATTAACGTTAGTCCTCTAGAATATGGTAATGTTTTATTGGTCCCTGACATGGAGGCTTGCCAGCCACAGATAATGACAGTGAAGGGAATGGAGATGGCACTGGAGGTGATGCTATTGAGTGCCCATAGGTAAGAAGAACAAATGCTTTTTTGGGCAACATATTTGGTTACTTAAAAGTACATGTACAGTTGCTACACATAATTTTATTTAAAGAAAGACTTGAAGTTTCTTCAAGGCACTGATTTAAAATATTGATATTTTGAATGGATTTGAGAAGAAAACAATCCAGAAAACAAGGCAGATTAAACAATCCTTTGGCATACCTGCCAACCTACCGTATTTTTACGGGAATCTACCGTAAATTTTTCGTTTTTCCGTAAAAAAATGACAAACTACCGTAAGAAAATGCCATTTTTTTCCCGTAAAAACGCCCGTAAAAAAATCTACCGTATTTTTTCCGAAATCTACCGTAAATTTTTTTTTAAAAAACTCGTTTTTTCCATGAGAACGGCCGTAAATTCTACCGTAAATTTTTGAAAATCTACCGTAAATTTTTGAAAATCTACCGTATTTCTGCTAAAATCAACAGTATTTTTGTTCAAACTACCGTAAAATCTCCCATTTTTGTTTGGAAATGCTTAAAATTGAAGTCTTTCTGTACTGTCCCTGTATAATAACCTTTACCAAACCGAATATAAGGTATCGGCAGGATATTGAATCGATTCAAAATTCTAAATCACATTCCCCGTCCGGGAAAGTCCATGAAGTTCGTAAACAGACCGCAGAACGTTGTAGCTACGTTCATTCAGTTCGCACACAGTTTAAAACCGATTCGGCAACGTTTTGCAGAACGCAGAGACAACTGATTCTGGTGTGATAGCTATTTTTGTTAATTCGTTCATAAGCAGTTTTTAATACGTTCATCTCGTCTTTATTCCGTCTGCAGTACGTTGGTATCAAGTTTAGACAAGGGAAAGATCAATACCCGGTGATTTCAGCGGGAAGTGGCGTTTCGTTCAGTGGATGAGCTGCGCGCGCACGCATAAATGTGATTATCCAATATAATTAGGGGAGGGCTATTTGAAGTAGTTTTTGGTCTCAGGCGCGACCCAGGGCTGTTGTCTTAAGGACATTTCGTTGAAAATGAGGCATTCGGCTGATAATTGGTAAGAGTTTGCGATCTTATAATGTATAACTGTTACTCAGACACATATTTTGACATGATTCTGTTGGAAATAAGCTTTGAACCGAGAGATATTCACGATTGATATGCACATTTTTGATTGTGCCATTGCTTTTCTATTGCACAATCCATGTATTGATAGCAGAAACATTAATAATGCAGATTGGTTTACCTTCAATACATGGCAGACACTACATATCGGTCTATTAATACCAGTTTGTGCCTTAAATAGTTTTATATTTCCATCCACGGCCTGGAGCCTGGGTGTGTTTGTCTCTTATGTGTATGCTTGTGCATGGACTTCTAATCACTAGCAGAATTTAACATGATGCAAACTCGACATTATAACTCATGCTGTAACATTTTGACTTCGCTGGAAAACAATAGGAATTATTTTTCTTGCCAATCAATCATGAATCACAATCAAAATTTCAGAATGATCAATCAGGCAATGGTCCAAATCAAGTTATAACATTATATGATATTCAGCAAGAAGTCCGGTAGAAATACAGAATATTTAAACATCAAAGCTGAAATTTAAAAGCTAATCTGTCAATTTTCTGTCTGCAAAAGAGCATTATTACATTTGACACAATAACAGACTGAGGCTTTGAAATCTAGGATTCCCCAGGAAAATATGACGTCATACTAATTAGCATAAGGATTTCCCTATTGGTATGGGTCGAGCCTTGTTCGAAAACACAATCCATAAATACATGCTAATTTCTAACTGAGATAGGAAGTGTATAACGTGTTTATCGATTTTGTTTAAAGATTTAATCAATTATCAAATTGTTTAAGTGGATAAAGTGGTCACACTTGCTTCAATTCATAGCGAAATCGACGGATAGAAACTGACCGAATTCCCGATATCCTACCCCGTATTACTGTAGGCTATAAGCACAGTGACCTACAGAGGGCGCTATCACAAACAAGTACTGCACGAACCGATAAATTCCCGGGTATTGTAACGCCCTTGGTTTAGATGGGGTTAAATTGTGCGTTCGTCTGGTCTACACAACGTAACCAAGCAGTTCAATTACGTCCTTAATCAGTTTAAACCAGTTGACAATTAGTTGTACCTCGTTCTCAATACGTCCTAATATGTTACTGAATTATCCACCAAATTTCCATGCGGTTGAACTCGTTCTAAAATAGTAAACATAGTGTCCCTAATCCGTGCAGAACGCATTTATTTTTTTCGGTCGAGTTGGGTCTGTCTACGAACAGAATGAACGAGCTACAAACGGACTAGATTGGGGTACTCACGGCTGCAATTTACGCCTGACTACACAACGTCGTAATACGTCCCTAGTAGCTTTGAAGTACGACACTTCCGTTCGTAGTGTGTCCCCAGTGCGCCCAGGTCGTCTTAAGTACGTTATCACTCGTGCTGATTGCAGAACGTGACGATCACCAGAAAATTTTGAGCATTCTCTAAGTTCTGGAGGACCTACATGTACTCGTTCAAGTAGTTTCATGAAGTTTGTAACAGATCCCAAACGGTTCTTAGTGGGTTCTTAGTACGTCAAATCCGTTCGTGCACAGTTTAAGCCCGTTTTCGAGAACGTAGTGAGAACTAGTTTGGTGTGATAACAGGGTTAACATACTGTTTTATTCATTAGTTTTTTAGAAATCTACCGCAAAAACTACCGCATTTTTTCAAAATCTAACGCAAAACTACTGCATTTTTTCAATTTTTTCCGCAAAACTAGTTTTTTTAAAATCTACCGCAAAAACAACCGCATTTTTTCAAAATCTACCGTAAAAGTACGCATCTTTTGCATATCTTCCGCAAAAGTACCCGTTTTTCAAAAAATTACCGTAAAAACTACCGCATTTTTCGAAATCTACCGTAAAACTACAGCATTTTTTCAAAATCTTCCACAAAACTACCGGTTTTTAAAAAACCACCGTAAAAACTACCGCATTTTTTCAAAATCTACCGTAAAACTACCGCATTTTTTCAGAATCTTCCGCAAAACTACCGATTTTTCAAAAAACTACCGTAAAAACTACCGTATTTTTAAAAATCTACCGTAAAACTACAGCATTTTTTCTAAATCCTCTGTAAAACTACCGCTTTTTTAAAATTTCTACCGCAAAATTACACTTTTTCCAAAAATCTACCCCAAACCTCTGAAACTACAGTATTTTTTAAAAATCTACCGCAAAAACTACCGTTTTTTTTAAAAATTTCCCGCAAAAACAACTGTATTTTCTAAATCTACCGCAAAAACTACCGTTTTTTTTTACAAATCTACCGCAAAAACTACCGGATTTTTGTTGAAAAATACCGTAAAATCTACCGCATTTTGAAAAAATCTACCGCAAAAATACAGCAATTTTAAAAAAATCTACCGCAAAATTTTGGTCTTAGGTTGGCAGGTATGCTTTGGTCTTGCATGTACCATACCCTTGCATATCCTCGTATCAGGCTTTAGTTTAGGATGTAATTCTGTATGTAACACATTGATTCAAATCTAATGACCTATTTTATTTTCTATATAGTATACAATGAAAACTGGGTGCTTGTCACATAAAATCCATTTGGTTGTCCCCAGTTGAAAATTCAGACAGTAGTAATTTTGTAGTTATAATTTTTATTTAAATAATTTAATTTACCTAACAAAGTTTTACTTTGATTGTTATAGAGGTTTTAGGATGGGGTTCAACAGTCTCTGTGGTTTTGCCTCAGTGAATCACCTTCATTTCCATGCTTGGTATGCTGATCATAAACTTTACACTGAGACTGAGGTAGGTATTATAGTTTATAACTATAAATCCAAATTTTCAACTACCACAACTATTTAGGTAATGTAAAAAGCGAGTTTCATAAACAAAAGATATTAAATTTGTAGACAGGTATGTTTATTTTGTATGATTGATGTTAATGTATAATTGTAAAGGAAAATAAATGTTATTTAACAAAAGAAAAAAAGTTTATAACTGCACTGTGTTTCATGTTAATGATAAGTGCTTTCATGGTGCATATTCTATATGTGTCATATCCATGAAAGAAAAACCTGTCATTTATCCGTTGTCCCAAAATTGGTGATTTTGATGAAAAAAAATTCACATTTCGATATTAGACACTTTGCTAAATGGATAGACAGTTTACAGTAGACAGTGTGATCACATGGTTTATATTATGAAAGTATTGAAATATTTAGAATACGTGTACTTGGTATTGGGACATATGTAATAGAACTTATGCTTATATCACTTCTAGAAAGTGTCCCACGTACATGGTTTGTGTTATGAACTGGAGGGATCTTGGACCAGAGGATTTGTTTTCCAATTAGAAGGATCAACAATCAATGAAGTAGCTAGGTATAATTTTTACTCTTGTTAAGTCTGAGATTGTATGTAATGCTAAACAAAGACCATACAAACTATAAGTGTATAAGTACATGTACTGTCTGATCATTTTTATATGTTCATGGCATAAGTGTGTCAAATTTCTTTGATTGAATTAATTTACCCATTTACCCATAATTGAGATGTGCCTTTATCCTCTACATTTGTACTTCAATTTATTAGAGGTTCTTGAACTAGTTTGTCTAGCTCCTTATAATTTTCTGAGTATGATTCTAATATATCACACTATATATTAGTCTAGCCATAAGCCTCTGTGACCTCCCTTGGCCCCCTCCCCCTCTACTTGACTAAACATGTTCTCACACAGTGCAAGGTCTTGTAGCTAGACTCACAATATATCAATAAACACATTTGAATATCAAAATAATCTTTGTAGGTCTGTTCATGCATTGACATCATGTTTCCAAGACAACGACACTGCCCACAATCTGTTCATGACAAGAGGACAATCATTCCAGGATGCCAGCAAATGCACTGTGAGAACATATCTCTGGCCCAGGAGAAATGTTTTTGGTAAGAATTTACAGCATAAACTGTTATATGTTAAACTCACATAGTATCTTACAAAACTAGTCATTTAAAAAGCAAGCCATTTGTTTCTAAAATCAAGGTATTTCTAGATATATTTTTCTGTCTTATGTCCAGATATTTTATTATCTAGAACAAAAACCTTTAATCAGTGATCCTAGAGATTAGATATAAACTGGAAAACTGGAAAAACTCTTTGAACCATCTTTGTATGAAATTCTGGTTTCAAATTATTAATATTCTGTTCAAAATAATACATGGATGAAATGCATGTCATTATGCAGTATATGTACATTAGGAGTAGTACTGAATATTGTTAGCTTTGAAAATATTCCATATATGCTACATTTATATACAAACCATGTGCTTCACAACATGTCTGTTGAATGTAAAGATTGTCATATGTGGTAAATGGTTGTTAAAATTGTTTGTTTTACACAGCACATGATCACTTTGGTGAGTTACCAGTTTATGGGTGTCCAGGATCTTTCACATGTTCTAAAGGGTTAACATAGTTTATTTTTAGGCTAGGATAAGTTAGCTATCTGGTTCTCATTCTTGCCAAAAAAATTAAAGGAGGGGGATTTTTGCCATGTCAAAATATCTACTTTTATATGACAAACAATGAAAAGATTTATACCTTCAGGATTGTCCCACATTTTAGTTGATGGTGGAATTTGTGAGATTCATATAAGCATATAACAGGGGTGGATCTGGGAACCAACAAGGGGGGCCCAAATTTCAGATTTCATAAAAAAGGCCCAAGTTTTGAAAATTTGAGTCCCATTTTGGCCTTAAATTAAAGGCCCAGTAATGACCAAAAAGGCCCACTTTTTGGTGCTTTGAGCCTTTTTGGGCCCATTTTTTTTTCTGAGCCCACCCAAGGCCCCTGCCCCCCCCCCTCCAGATCCACCAGTGAACCAGTTAATTAACTCACTCTAGCCTGATAATGTCAGACACAATTTTACATACATTTGTAGCAGTTTTCCATAACTCCATTAATATTTTTACATCTTAATAACATGCACTACATACCATACTCTGTTTTGTGTATGAAATGAATGCAATTAAATGTATTTATATTTCCCGACTGTCGGTGCACTAGTTAGATTATAAATTTCTGTGTGGTCTATAGCAAAACTTTAAAGGTTTCTCGTGTTCTATGGTATATATAGGTCTTTTTTGTGTCCATGCACAATCAAACAAAAAACAGATAAACATTAAATTACCTTATACCTGAATGTTTAAATAGGCTTTGAGGTTCAAGTTGTATTACATTTATTTTATTTTATTTATTTTTTTTATTTATTATCTTAATCATTTAGCATAATACATTTACAGTGTTGGCACTTGATATACCCATAAAAGGGTATATCAGTGCTAAAATCAAAAGTTGAACATCACAAAAAATATATTACAATTTATATGAATTGAATGAAGCAAAAAATACAATTCATAGAATAACATGCTAGTTCATGTTATAAAATATGAAAATATACAATAAATGTATTTAGTGGGTTAGTTGCTGTACAATAATATGTATAATTCTTCACTTAGTGTACTAAAAGTATAATAACATTAAAAAATAAATTTGATATTTATTGGCAAAATGAATAACCGGAGGATATATCACCTCGTAGATAAAAATGATATTCCTCAAAATCATAGAATATCCTATAAGTATCACAATTATGTATTTTTAATATCCATGTTTTAGGAGTTAGCTCTATTTGTCTTAATTGTATATATAGAAGATGTTCTTTTTTCTTTGTTTTACGCGAGACTTCTTATGAAAATAACTCTCTTCTCTTTTTCTCTATTTCATGTTTTTCAGATTCTGTTCTCTTGTTCATAAACCTTTATGAGGGTTGTTCAGAAGATTTTATGAATACTCTCCTTTTCACATTTAATGAGAGCAGTTGCATTCATTACCTGCTAGTGAAGTACATGTATTTATTAAATGACCCATGTATATATTGTTCATTCCACTTAACTCTGTATGCTCCCTCCAAATTAGCATTTTAATTTTTTTTAATTCGCTGTTTTTATCCACTTTTTGATTTGTTTATTTATCTTTTATAAGAAAACTGAATCAAATATGATTGGGATGTGTTTATACTTTTGATACATGTATTAATGATATGGAATTTTGTATGTATCTGTAGGTATCAAAGATGGTGCAGCATTCAATGTTGCTGTAGCAGAACTTGGAGGTCACCTGCCCCTTAAAGGTAAGGAACATTGAATGTGCAAGAAAATTTTTACTGTTACTGTATCTGATTTTTGATTATTTATGACAGTCAGTGGGACTGTATCAGAAATTGCATTAGTTTAAACTTCTACAGGGGGGTCCATCAAAATAAAGTATAAGATTAATAAAGTTAAAGTCTCCGATAAATCGGACTACGTATACCGCCGTGTTTACATTAGGGGATTAGAAGAGTTTATTTTTATTTAGGTATGCAAGCAATATCAATATTAGGCCTTCGTGCATGTACTAGTGTGTACAATCAGCATGCCTTTCAATATTATATAAACCAGGCTATTCAAGTACTACATAATGTACACTATTTATGTGTGTACTACATGGGAATACAATTACCTGGGAAACAAAACACAAATACTTTTTATATGTTCAAAATGAGCCATTTGATTGATGCATACACTTAATAGCTCATTAATAACATCTACAAAGTATATCTAATAGTAATTTTCAATTTCAATGATGAAACTTGCCTGTTTACGATTATACGGGAAATCAACATGGGACGAAGATTGTTCACCTTCCTGACTTACTCTGAAGCCTGTACCTTGTAATCTCTTTATATAGGATAGCGAGAGCGCTGCACCTGCGCAGTTTTAAACTTTGGCGCACACTTTAAGGTTATACATGTAGTTTCAAAAAATCTAACATATGAGAACGTCTAAAACTAAAGGCTTATGCTACCCTTAAACTTACAGTTTATCATTATTAGGTATGAGTTTGAGACTCATCTTTTGAGTACTTAACTTTCCACATATAATCAATAAAATCTACTGATTGTAGGCTTATTTAATGTCTACTTTTACAGTAAAATTCAACTAAACATTTAGCATACACGGATTATGGGAACTACCTTTGGTAGACTGTAGCATGATTATGTAGTTCAGTGTTATAATACCTGTCTGATGGAACACCTCTCTGTAAGAACACCTCTCTGTAAAGAACACCTCTCTGTTAAGAACACCTCCCTATAAAGAGCATCTCTGTATAAAGATCACCTCTCTGTAAAGAACACCTCTCTGTTGAGAACACCTCTCTGTTGAGAACACCTCTCTATAAAGATCACCTCTCTGTAAGGAACACCTCTCCTCGAGGAACACCTCTCTGTAAAGAACACCTCTCTTTATAGAAGTTTTCAAAAGAACCCATTTTCTCCAGACAGTAACAATTTTGGCTAGTTAAGATGTACATGTAATCCATTCACACCCCTTAACCATTCTTCTTCCTTTTTTGCAGATGAGACAAACTTCGAAACATTAACAGAAGAACTGGCACAACAAACATTCTCAGACGCATCTCTAGATGAATCAGACTATTCTAAAATAAGAACTAAAGTTATTGAACAGCTTAAGACATTAGACAATGAATAGGAACAATGTGTTCAAAGATCACCTTAAATACAAGTGAAGGAAGGAATGATATAATAAAAGCAAAATATGTAAAGCACAAGCACTGCACTTGGGAAAAAATATCAGACATTACAGTACATAATCATAGTTTAAAGGATTTGTATTCGATGTGGATAACCCACATTGAATTGGGCACAAGCTGTACTTCTTTCATAAAGGACGCACAGCTCAGTCAACTGGCAAAACTGACATATATTTAGCCCTCATTTTTGTTGAAACTCTATGCATAATGTCAACTGCTGTTCATAAGGCTATGAACTATTTCTGAAAAAACTGTAAATCTCAAAGCACATATCTCGTATATGTCCACCAGTTGTCAGATTCTATGTGCTGATGCCTTATGGGCTTTTAAGATGGCTGCTGAATTCAAAATGGAAATCATTCTTTAAAGAAATATCATTTTTCTGATGATGCAAATACCAGTTATCAGATTAGGTCCAAATTTTATATGCTAATGCCTTCTGGTCATAAGACATCTTCTCAAGTAATTTATAATGGCATCATGTCATGATATCAGTGTAGATTTTGTCAAAAGGAGACAATATCCCAGATGTGAGTAGAAATAATCTTGATTTAAGGCATTAAAAACTCACAGTTCAGTCAAACTGATGTCGTATTTGGAATCTACATGTAAAATTACATTTACAAATGTGGTTTTGAAAAGAGTTTATCTTGAAAAATTAATTTTCTTTGAAAATGTGACTTCTAGGTCGGGGAGATTCTCCATAGACCCCATATTGTAAAACCACAAAAAGTGAAATATCTTTTCTTTTCAGATAATATTTTCTTTTACTGGACATATTTTAATTTGTATAACTATCAGATACATAAGGGTAATATGAAAAGTGAACCACTAAACTGATGCATATTCAAGTTTAAGGGAATTTTGTAATACCCCTGCCATGTTAATTCCCCCGACTCAGCCAACTGGTGGCGAAACGTGTAACTACCTACTCGCATCTGAGTTATTGTACTGGTTGGTTATTTTTTTCATATAATATATAAACAAGACACACAGTAATCAGTATCATACTTTGAAGAGCAAAATGGTCACCATGTAATTCATCCCTAATTTACCAAGCTTGTCCAAAACCTAATCAGATGTTGGCACAAGTCTGCTGTTGCATGTGAACAGAGCCATTCTGATACTAAGGCTGTGATATCTCACGATGGACCAGAGCAGTTTCCTGGAATTTTGATTTCAAGATTAATGTAACACCCACCCAGACAAAAGCACATCCAGCAGGATGAGACTACAGTATGGCATCTTTGCAAAATGCAATCAAAACAAATGATTTGATGAAATTGTTTTAATTTAAAAGGGGATTTGCTACTCTGGGAGTTGCTATTTTTCTAGTTTTATTATTTGGAGATTGAGGTTATAGGAACATTATTGTAATAAAATGTGGGTGTGTCAGACTTTCGACAATTGCTCTTTGTCAGTCGCATGGTAGCTGTGGCTTCACAAAATCTATACAGAAAATCTACATCATACTTTTTATTATCTCTGTATTATGCCTGCAAATTTCTCTCGATTTTGGGAAGCTACAGCTGCCGTATGGTTGCCATAGATCAAATGTGACTGAGGCATTAATCAACCCATATGGGATTAACAGTAGCAGTGTAGAGAGCTTTTTATGATGTTATACTGGCATACTTTTTGTACATGTAATACTATCCCATCTTGATCAAGGACTGCATCAATAGAATAATATATAGACTTTTTGATGTAAATTGTATACCTTTTTATTGACCTATACATGTCAGATTCAAGATGGTGCCATGCTTTTGTGTTGATTGGTGATTATGCGCAACCTGTATGGTAACCAGAAATTTAATTTTGCAGAAATTAAAATTTCTCAACATGTCAGAAAATCGATTTTAATGAATAAATCTTCTTTTTTATGTATGATGGGATAAGATTGTTGTGTTCTTTTTTAGTATGCCATTTGTTTCAAGTTTTGGATAAAACAGTTTGAAGCCAAGCATTCGTCCTATATACTGTAGAAGAAACCTAGGTCAGTATGACCTACTTGTATATCAACAGTTTTCAACATAATGCTAAAAATGAGATTTATCATAAATATTTATTATAAAACATTTAATATACATTTATTATGGAAAGTGAGTTGTTTAGTACAATAGTTAGATGGTATAAACTTTATGGCATGCATAAGCCTTGAGCTACCCTACATCATCGAGTCTTCCGTTATATTGTGAAAAATTTCTCGCATATGTAACATGTGTAAGTATAGCCTCTTCCCATGACTATTCTGTATTTTGATTTGTGAAAGCATAAGGGTCTAATATATGTTGCTCTAAAGAGGTTAGGAGGAGTGCAGGATTTCACTACATGTAAATAAGAAGTAGGGGGAAATTGGAAAGGACTATCAAATATAAGGTGGCTTAGTTAACTGGCTTTTTTCCCAGACATTGATATCATAGATTTTAGTGTTAATTTCACCTCAAACATCCAGGCATCAATTTTTCATTTGTGTCACTGAATTTTTCAATTTGTCCCTTGTCTAAAAACATGTTTTTAATTTCTTGTTTAAATCATCAACTTTTTATGAAGCACAGTGATACTGCAAAGTCTGGTTCAAGATGTATTCTTACAGGACAAATTCAAAAGTGAGACAAAATGGTGATCACATTGTAAGGTGTTCATTTTAGAAATGTATTTATGTACCTAGGTTTTATGGTATACTCTGTTCTATTTTATATAGTAAAACATGTAGATGAATCAAACCTTACTAGGGACATCGTGAAAAAAGCCAGTCATAGGAATATGGCATGCTCAATTGGTACTCATTCTTTAGATATTTATCAGACAGATTTGAAGTTCTGCCTGTGTGCTTGCGATTTTGGATTTACCAGAATATTTAATATCTCACAAAAATGACCCATATACAAAATTATAAATGGGGTATAAACTCTAATTAACATTTTGAAAAAAATGTCTTGGAACATTTTTTCAAACAATGTCTCAACATGGGACATTGGATAAGTAAGAACTTTTTAAATAAAACAACTTTATAATACATTATAATAACAAAACAACATTAAACAATGCTTGAAAACCTAAAAACCTGAATAAAATCAAAAACTTTTGATGTTATTTGTACATGAAACATGAATGAATCACTCTAATAATATTAAAACATTGCGATTATATGGGTCTACTACATGTACAGGTATCAACATGTAGCTATCATCATGTTGCTTTTATCATGTAGCTATCATGAAGATCTCATCATGTAGATTTCATGTTGCATCACATGATCATGTAGCTATCATCATGTTGCTTTTTACATGTAGCTTAATGATGGAACTTTCATTGTGTTGCTTTCATCATGTAGCTTTCATAATGAAATCATCATGGAGCTATTATTGTGCAGCTTTTATCACATAGCTATCATGAAGATCTCACCGTGTAGAGTTCATGTTGCTTTCATCACATCATCATGTAATGCAGTTATCATAATGTTGCTTTCATCATGTAGCTTTAGTGAAAGTTTCATCATATAACTTTCATCATAACTTGCTTTCATCATGTAACTATCATCATGTTCCTTTCATGAAGAAATCATCATGTAGCTTTCATCATGTAGATTTTACAATGTAATTAACTTCATGTTCTCTAACACACAGATCTAACAAACTTCTATTTGGCATCAGTTTGACTAAGTTACTTATATATAAACAAATGAACAGTGCTTCCAAATTGCTACCTGCCATTTGACTGGCTTGAATTTTCAAAAATATCTATGTTTTTATTGAATTGGTTGAATTCTTACTTCCACTGCCAATTTGCAACAAGAATTGTATGATCAAAATGTGACTTAAATGTACAGACCCACTGTACTTAAATATTCTTAATAACTCACATAAAAACTATAAGAATTATTGTGGTAACTTAGTGTTAAGGCAACTATTATAAGCAATTGCACAACTCCCATTTAGAAATATTCTCCGAACACTATGTATACAAACAAAATTCAGTAATACCCTCAGGATTGGAACAGGTACCCCAAAAATGGGTCATTCGACCAATTTAGAATTTTTCTTGTAATACAAGAATTTTGTCAAAAAATTGTTGCGAAAAATCCTGAGAAGAAAACTGAATATACTATATATATCTGCAAGAATACAGTGGATCTGTATATTTAACACCTATGGCTATCCAATTATAGGGCGACACTACAACATGAAAAATTTATGTTAAAATTTAAATATTAATGTTTAAACATATAACATGTATAGTACATATTGTATTGTAATAGTGAAATAATCAATGATATATTGACCAAGTGCCCAACATTTCATAAAAGCTCATTAGCAATTACCATTAATGTTACAAATCTCTCATTTCATTTTTTCATATTTGCAAAAATTGTCAATAGCCTAAATATTTTATTAAATTTCCTGTAGATTTCAAGAAAGGTGGCACTGACCTTTATATGAGTATGATGACTCGTCATGACTGAATTACACTAACTGGAACCATGAGGATTTAACAAGAATAATGAAATTTTGATTTATCGGTTTAACCTTATAAATGATAATGGAGAATGTTGAAAGAAAAAACATAGCCCAAGAAGGGACTAGTAAGAGGTGAGAATATTTACAAAATGGTTGTAACATTCTTAATTACATTTTGAATATTTGCTGCGTTATGATACATCAGCTCTTTAACAACATGGCTTTGTAATTTAATAACATGGCCTTGTAATAAGACAACACAGCCTAGCAATATTACAACAAGGCCGTACAAAATGACACAGCCTTGAAATAATGTTAAAACATGGCCTTGTAACATAAACAAGGCCCTCAAGTATTACAATAGAGCCTTGCAATGTAAAACAAGGCCTTGTAGTAAAGTTATACATAGCCTTGCAATATTGCAAAAGAATCTTTAAATATAATAGCAGTGCCCTGCAATGAGGATGGGCCCTTGCAATATGCCACGGTCTTGCAATACTTGAACTTGGCCTTGCAATGCAATAACAGAGCCTTTCAATATCAATCAGGGCCTTATTATAGGACAAGGCCTTGCAATATTAGAACTAGGCCTTGCTATGCAATAACAGAGCCTTTCAATATCAATCAGGGCCTTATTATAGGACAAGGCCTTGCAATATTAGAACTGGGCCTTGCAATGCAATAACAGAGCTTATTAATATCAAGCAGGGCCTTATTATAGGACAAGGCCTTGCAATATTAGAACTAGGCCTTGCCATGCAATAACAGAGCATTTTAATATCAAGCAGGGCCTTATAATGGGACAAGGCCTTGCAAAATAACAAAAAATCAGGAACCATGGAGATTCCAATTTTACTGCTTTATGTACAAAAACTTTAATAGCATATATAAACCAACCTTCGGGAACATTCTCTTCATTCAAAAACATCTACTAAGTTGTAAACACTATCACATAGACATATGTCTTAAAATACATGATACTGGAAAACTCAAGAACTTTATATAATATATCCATCATCGAAAGATTTAACAAATTCCATATATTCAAAAAATGATCTCAAAGGGCATTATCAGGTTGAATAAGGTTGGACCATGCAAGGATTAATAAGGATGTTGTTTTGAATATCATGCATATATTGTTGTCCAGATTTGTTAATTTCACCATGTCCCCTACATATGAACATAGGAACATTTTATGAACCATGAGCTGTCATGGATTGAGGACTTTTGCAGTCCTAATTTACTATACACCCCTGAAATATAAAAATTCCCTGGTAGTCATGATTCAAGCATGATCATCACATGATTCCAGTCTGATAATCATACAATTCTTTCACGACCACCATATGAATCTTGCATGATCAGTACACGATTCTTGCATCATTGCACAATTCTTGCATCATTGCACGATTCCTGCATGACCATTCCAAGATTCTTACAGGATCATCTTATAAATCATTGCATTGTATGACCACCTTATATGGTTGAATTCTCAACTGTTCAAGAATAAGAACAGAGAATGAGAAAGAAATCATAAAGATCACATGACTACCAAGGAGTGGTCTATTTCAGGGGGCCTGTACACAGTATCTTATGTACATATATCTCAGTGACCTGGCCAGTGAAAAACACTATACACTCAATGAACGCATTTTGATTTCCATTGATGTAGGTATGTAGTAGCACAAGATATTTTAGCCTCTATTCAACCAAGTTGTAAATATATCCATATCTGTAAATGACTCCACTTTACATTTGTGTGTTCATCTTGAGAACTATGCATCATCCAATATTTCATTTTTAGTGATTCTAGCTTCTATGTAACCCAAGATAAGGGTTTTCAAAAATCTGATGTTGTTATATCTTGATCCTAATTCAGCTGTATGTGCTCTTATATCCTTGAGGTAAATGAATCCATGTTGTTTTCCATAAAAATATTGTCCATATATGGTATGCTGTTTCCATGGCAACATTTTGGTATGATGTGTTGTGTCTATGACAATATTGTTGACATATTATGTATCCAAGGCAATATTGTAATAGTATGATGTGTAACATTGAGTAGATGGTAACTCCACATAGACGCAGGTCAGATTGCAAGATGTCTATTCACAGGGTTGGTGCTAAATGTCTACAACCATCTTTTTATGAACATCCATAGTACCTACCACCTGCAAGTGCACAATACATCATTAAACAATGCAGATAAAAAAGCAAGTACACAATACATCATCAAATAAGCCTAATGTAGATTAAAATGAAAATATTTCAGTGTGAGAGGTTCTCAAGTTAATTTTTTTCTCAATCTCGTAGTCAAGGGGGGTTAGCTCGAGGAGTTTGGCAAGTTTTTGACAAAAGCCTAGATGCTTAATGCTATAGTACACAAACATCAATAACTCCGCAAACAGGATTTGAAATCAGACATGACCTGATGTGAAACTTATTTTCTTTGATTTAATGACATCCAAAGGCCGCAATTCAATCATTCATTTCCTTAATTCAAGTAAAATAAATTGTCAAGGAGTTTATTTTCCAACAAAGTTTTGAAATCAGATTAGACATTCTTGAAATATTTTTTTAGAGGTTTCCTACAGACATGTTTCAATAAGATAATGGTTAACTTAATATAGAAAACTACATCATGACGCTTATATTATTTCACTTCTTGATGTTCCTTTTTATAGCGTCAATTCTGGAATATTGGTGTGACAATTCAACTACATGTACTTACAGAGCAGAACTCTTCAAATGAGATTTTGCCATCGCCATCCGCATCAGCATGTATAATTGTTTTGTCGACAATCTGTTGCAGTTGGGCATCTTTTAAATTCGAGCCTACCATCATTTTTAACACTTGAAACAGTTCGCCATTAGATATATATCCATCTTTGTCCATGTCGTAAATTTTAAATGCGACTGAAAGGAAAGAGTTATGACTCCATTATAATTTTAATGTTTTGATGTGTTTTAAGAAGTCAAGAAATAATAGCAAATTATGATGTTAAATTATAATGTAGTTCATTTCAACTTCAAAAATTAAACCATCAAGCATTTTAAAAGTTATTTGTTAATCAATATATAAATCAAACACCGTACATGTAATTTTGATATGAACATTATGCTATCAACTTGCAAGATGCATATGAAATGGCAAAAACAAGAGCAGGCCAAAAAAGTCTATATTTTCATTTGGCGATAACTTTTTGAATAAGGCAAATGTTTTCAAAATATTTTTGATTGAGATGCAGGAACCACTTTTGCAATTGTTCCTATAATGGGATAAATAAATCTTCAGTGGTGTCTGAAAAAGAAAGTTTAACAGACACTAGGGTTTTAAATGAAAAAAGTTGTCAGGATAATATTCAAAGCAAGAATTTTACGCTAATACTGTATAAGTCATACCTCAAATATAAGTACCAGATTGACATATTATTTAGTCTGTCAGAGAAACACATGGGAGAGGTTGTTCAGTATATTCTGATAATATTTCCAGAAAAAATGGAACATTAGAAGGAAAATCAGTGTAAAATTGTAACGTCAAATAATACCTTGAAACTGGGATTTGCATTCACATCCCTTTTAACTTTTAACCTTGCTTAATGAAAGTCTGCTATAGATATCATTTGGGATTGGCTGCTTATGTATAATTGATTACAGCATCCCCAGCGAAAAATATTATCAACATCCATATATTACAAAAGTTAAAGCAAAATAAAAAATATGATTGTTTTTTGGCCCATTCTATAGTATATTGAAATAAGGTAAGATAAGTCACTTATGATAGAAATGACATACCGAAAAAACATACTTCTCTTTTTACCAATTGTTTCTTTATAGATTAAAACATAAAATATATAGTAACCTACAAATATGTACAAACAATTTTTTCTCTATATCTTGGTTCATATTGAGTCTCAAGTTTCAAGAAAGATGTAGACATAGAATATGAAAATAGTTTTCACTCATATGTTTAACTTCATATACAGGACTTCCCGAAAGTATCCCCCCCCCCCCCTAGGCAGACATATACCAATATCCCCATAGTATGTATCATATTTCATTTTAAAGCTTATCCAAAGTTACATAGATTTGCCAAATACCATGGTTCAACTCATAAATAGTAAAAAGTTGCAGGCGTTTCAAAAATTAGTGTTTGGTCAAAACTATGGTTCATTTCAGTAATCTGGAAACAGCCCTGACCTGAATGTGACAGAAAACATGGGTCCTATTGTCGAAGATAGGATGGATATTAGATTCTAAAAAGAGGACGTTGAGGGTAGATATTCCAAGGAAACTCTTCTAAAATGTCTTAAAAAGTTTTTTTATGAGGATTACAAAATGCCACATCCCTATTTAAGGTCCCGCGTTTAAGGTCATATATGGAAAGCATTGCTGCTGTTAACATGGCGGCTAGGGAGACACATTAACTATTATTTTGGAGTAAAACTGACTTTATTTTTGGCCAATCACCAAACGTTTTCCCATTTGTGAGTTGAACCAAGATACTTGGCAAATCAATGTAACTTTGGATGAGCTTTAAAATGATATATGACACATACTATGGAGACATTGGTATATGTGTATACATGTACATCCTGTATATCAATGACATATGACAAGTGCTTTTACAAGACAATAATATGCACTAAAATGCTAAACATGAAAGAGATGATCAAACTATAATAAAAGTATATAGCTAGATTACATTTTATGGAAAATACAGTTGTAACATTATTCGAAAGCAATAAACAAAAGATAACATTTAATATTACAAAATTAGAAAAATAAACATGACTGCTGGCAGTAATAAATAATATAAATAAAAATAACAAAACAAAAAAAAGAAAAAAATCTTAAATAAAGTTCATTTGTTAATAATTTCTAACTACAGGATACAAAAGATAACTAAATTTCTAGCAGCATTCTATGTATTACCTAATGCTCTATGTTAGGGATTTATCATTATGTTATATTTTACTAATCAGTCCTGAGGATTGTTGGAGGGATCAATCATTTTCTACAAGGCCCTATATCTATTAGCGTTTCACACAATCATGCCAGGTTCAATCTGGGGATATTTTAAGAATTTTTATTTATTCAAAATTTCTATAACAAATCTTAAAAGTATATGTAGTAAACCAGGGTGAAAGAATCATTTGTTTTTCATTTAATTTTCAGCAAATTTTCTTGTGATTAACAAAACGCTAGACCCTGATGACTTTAATCTCAACTTCTATGAATATAAATTCAATCATTGCTGCTGATCTTCAAGAATTTATCAAGATTTACCGTTAAGCTTGTGCACTTGATAAAAAGATTTTCAATTTCTATTTTTACACAACAGATCCGGATAGCAATATCTATACAAATTTGTTTAATGGTCGTTGAAATTGTAGTAAATATATATTTCATGGAAACTATTCAAGATTTGTCTTAAATGATTTTATTTATGTTTTAAGTTTTCCAAAACTTTGATTCAATTTTTTAAAAACTCAAGTAGCACCATTTTTTAAAAAAAGAGCTAAGATTCAAGCAGATACAAATGTAAAAGAAATCACTTTTATATTTTGTTACAATTTATATCAATGTAAATTTGAGTGAAAAACAAATGATTGCTTTACCAAAGGTTATATTTTCATCAGCATTGAGGAGTGATTCTATTAACCATTCATTAAAAAATATTCTAACATAACCAGGTACAAATCATATACCTTAATTTTGATTATTGGGACACAGAAAAATTTCATATCAATTTTGTTGTTTAAACTCATGTTTACGGTTACTTACACCTTAATTTCGACTCTTTGTCACCTTTAACACTAAATTGAGAAACGCCATCTATAAATTCTAGATTAGAAAAAGTGAACACAAACATTAGTAAAGAATTTAGGACAAATATTAGCAAAGTAGATATTATTAAACATCAGTTTCTTCCTGACAAAATGCATGGAAATCAGCTATGCAGTGCCCATCCATTTTCAGCAACTGTTTTTTCATGGGGGGTCGGAATACAGCATTCAAAGTCTAAAGATTCAAAGGTTTCATTGTAAGAAAGGAAATAGTAAAATGTAAGAATTGAGGAAAGCAAAACTACTATAATATGCAAAGTAAAAAGCAAAGATAAGAGAAAATGGTTTAAATATTACAAATCAAAGAATAGATCTGTAAGATTAATTAGATGCAACAATAACAAATTTAGAAAATAGAATAGAAAATGTAAAAATGACGCACAATTGATACTGCATGGATGACTGACGATGCAGACCAATATGACATTTCTCTATAACTTACAAAGTCACCATTTCAAAACAGTTCATGAATTTAACATCAATCAAAAACATGTTTGGAAAACTTAAGATTAAAAACAGCTTCCATAGTCAATAAAGAAAAAAAACGTTAAAATCATGAACAGTTCTGAGAATGTGTCCAAATTAGCTTCTTTCAAAAAGAGCTTCATGAACATTGACCACAGGACATATATTAAATAGTTAGACGCAACAGTATGTACATATGATAGAAAAAGAATTCAAAATAAGGAAATATGTGTAGTAACCGAGCTATAAAGTTGTGTAGAGGTGGGCTGAGAAGAATGCTCGTGTACGCACAGCGCATTTCCCCTTCTTATCTCCTGTAACGCTAAATCTGTGAGATGCCGTCAAAAAATTCTGTAAGGTAGAAACATTGATAACCAGCCGATTATTCTGCTGGTTAAACATGTACCTCCACCCTGTCGCTACCCTAATAAACACCCCATTGTGGCGCAAGGAAGGCGGATGGGACTGGGCCGAGGGCAAGTAACCTCCGCTATGATACAACCAATCAACACCCACATTTAGAACAAAGGTGGGGATTGGGGTTGCTGGTGGGAAAGCTACCAGTTTGAGTTAAAGATTCACCAAAACTTGGCATTGTTAGGTCTAGGAGAATATTAAATATTACAAGTCCCAAGTATCCTTGAAACATGTAAATAGAAGCTGGAGGTGTTAGATATTTTGGCAGCAAAAGAGAGGAAACCCCTACTCTACTATAGAAACAAACATAAAAAACATTTGCATAACAGAAAAATATGCGAAAGGTGCGTTGTGAATGTCCCGAAGGTAGATGAATACATACATGCCAATTTGGCAACCTTGTCTCCCTTAGCGCTCACTTTAGACATCCCATCTATAAATTCTGAAAGGGATAATAGGTGTTAAATGTTTGAAAAGATTTTAGGTTAACAATTTATTATTCATACATGAACAATCAACACAATGATTAAGAAAAAATTCTATTGAGGAAATAGAAATATTTTAGCAAAAACTTATAAATTTTTACATTTAAGTTTATGTTTATTTTTATATATATACTTTACATGAGTTGTTTCTAGCTTTACAGAAAACCTACTTAAAAGCAATACATATACAGCATATAGTATATATTCATGTAATAGCATAAGAGGATATTCATATGAAAATCAGCTTTGATTCCAATGTTGAACATACACAATAATTACATAAGGCAATATCATATGACATGAGATAGATAAATCATTGAATTACATATTTAGATCATATAGCATATCCCAAGTTATTCAAGGACAAACGTTACTTGTATATGTGGTCTAGTTTTGGGCTAGTTTGGTTAGTTTTTGGTACATATTCGGTTTACTATTTGGTGACTGTTTAAATTTCCAAATGTTCCTTGAGTAACACATTTTGGTCAAATTTACAAAAATGCAATGATGTGGTGATTATTCAATTTAGCTATTTTTGAAATGTTAACCCCCCCCCAAAAAAAACGGGTGCTATAACTTAATTTCCAAGTGGTGTTATATGTATGATTTGGTAAATAATGTGATGTAATGTAATAAACATGTATGTAAGCTATATATATATATATATAGAATGGAAAATATGTAGTTTATTAGGTAAGGTTATTACACCATGATGTAATCATTGCATCAGGTTATGTGAGAAGAATTCAGGACCATAAAGTAGTAGAGATAGTATTCAAAATTATTGGAAAATCCATTACATAATACTGTATTTGTACAATAACCCATATTTTCAAAGTTGGTCAATACTCCTTTCAACCACATTTCAAGACGTTTACACGCAGACTTCAAATATGATAGTATTTTGACGAAATTTTGAATATTTCCTGATGTAAAGCAAGATTATTTCTACTTGCAGGGTCTATTCAGTATAAAAATCCCACTGCTTTGCTCATGAATAAGTCAATATAACACCATTTCAATGGACCTGTGCCTGTGCACCTTTCGCAAGTTATATTCCTCGATGTTACGTTAAATGTTTTTCATTCAGTAAGGTCATATACTGTATTATGACGTGACGCATGAGGTGAAAGAGCCTCATTCTGAAGGGGGATATCAAAAATCAAAATTTATTGACTCCATTCTAGACTTTATACATCAAAATAATATAATTTGAGAAACGTAAAGTTAGTACATTCTGAGAGATTATGAGATTATTTGCAGCCTTTATTGTATCAACTCCATACTCATTGATTCATCTTAGTCACCATGTATTTGCTTAGTCATATTATTTCATATTAAGTTCTTTCAACAAATGAAATTACCACCTTCCAGTTCTAGGTGTATATGATTGGATGAGGATACACAAAACAGGCCTGTAGCCAGGGGGAGGGGTCTGGGGTTTGTGCCTTCCCCCGCCAAAAATCCTCACAAAATCATGCAGTTTTTCAACATTCAGAGTGATTTTGGGCCAAAGTTGCTCTCTTTTAAAAGATGGAAATTTGTTGAAAAAGGAAAAAATGTTGGTGACATATTTATATTTGAATTCTATTGGTTGCGATGAAAAACTCTGCCGTCTATATATTAATTCAATCAGATGTTGGCTCACTTAAAATTCACCCCGTCTTTTTTTCAGATAATCGATCCAACACGAAGGACCCAGTAGGTAAGGGAAACAATGTAGAGTGAAAACAATGTAGAGTGAAATAATGCAAGCTCTTGTCATAAATACGAGATGGCGATCAATAGAGCCTCTGGTAGATGGTGTCATCAGGGATTAAAACTGCAGTGGAATGATATATGAGCTGGTCATTGATGTTACCAACTGCATTAACAGGATTAAACCATGCCTGTTTATAAGATGCAGTTAACGTATTTCACAAAATCTATAAAGCAGACATTCTGCCCAAAGCTTAAAAGTGCTGCGTCATGAGATAAACAAGAGCTACTTGGTATAATATTGAGGAACATTCACAATCATCATTTTGTGAATATGGAAGTGTTTTCCTTTGGATGGTTATCCTATATTTTAGTATTCACAACTTCAGAGAACATATCTAAAGAATCCTCACACTTCTGGCTGCTCATAATTAATTGATTTTATTTTTTGAAGATGACAAAATTCTGTAACGGTCATAAAAATTTGTACTGTACCTACCAGTAAACTGGTTCTTAAGAAAATATGCAAGTATTTGTTGTTTTTAAAATTCTAAATTTGCCTGATGAAAACTTAAAACTTTTCAGTAAAGATCAAAAACTGAATTTGTAAAAAAACAAGAAACAAAATCTAATAAATTATCCTAAATTTTATCATAAAGAATCTATAAATTAGAGTAATAACAACACCCACATCAAAAAATCAATGACACCAAGTGTCATATATCCTAGAACATTTGACATCATAACCTAGAGCGCTCAAAACTGGCACTTGAATAGAGCAGTGTAACATAAGCAATATATACACATACAGATCAATATATTCATATACCTTCAGTAATATCAATTGATCAAAATGAAACACTTTCATGACATGACACACAAAAGTTGTCTCGCCCTATCGATATATTAGGGCAGAATATAATACTGTACGCCCGGTATTATTCGCGTGCGATTAACTTTCGCGCTTTTCGCGATGGTGTTAAAATCGCGAAAAATTATCGTCGCGAAATTGCCAATTAAATCCCCGGGAATTTGTTCTTACCCGGGGCTGTGATGCATTTCGTCAACTTCTGATCCCTCCATTCCTACATCTGTAAGAAGAACTACAACATGCATTTCGTTTTGTGTAAAACGTTTCGTCTAGTGTTATTGGGCGATAATTGGATGATTTTCACCAACATGATGTAATACAAAATACGAATTCGAACTGCTTTTTCGTTTTAAAATAAGACCGAAATTAACGATGCGATAATAGAAGTTGATATGCAGCTTGCCGATGATAAAGATCCCAGTTATTGTAAATCTGATCCAACTATGACATCAGGTAAGTGCAATAACTGTACATATACTAGTAATTTAGCTTGAGAATTCCGAGAATAATGAATTTCAAACTTGTGAAATTCGTGAAATTTAATAGCCGCGAAACCGTGTTTTCGCAAAATTCGCGAAATTAAAGCTCGCGAATAATACCGGGCGTACAGTAGTACATGTACAACAAATCTGATTTTTTTACATTTTTTTAATTATAGGTTTCTACATATTGCGATTGAAAGCTTTTAAACCAGATTTTCTCAGTTGGAAACTTGGCTTCTTTGAGTGATACAGCTACGGGTTGACAGGCTTCTTGGTTCAAAATTTCCTTCTCCAAACAAATTCAAATTTCTCCTACTTTTTAATATTGAGCTCTCTTGGATATGGGTTTGGTTTAATGAGTTCATATTGTTTGTAGGTGTTGTTTTTCTTGTAATCATTCTATATGTCAATAGTCCGCCAAGGCCATATAAGATATATAGTATATGGCACCCTCTGGAGAATTTAAAAAATGGATTGTGCCTATTCGTAAAGTCATCCCAGATAACAATTCAGAAAATCTATAATATCACTTTAAGCTTTTCCACATAAAACCAAGCCTAGTTTCAACTGTTACAAGTTACTATAAGAGTAGAAGCCGATGTAATTTTCCCCGATGGCTCCTCAATATGCACCCGAATGACCTCAAAGAATATAGTCTATCAATCAATAAACGCAATAAGTCCATTAACATTACCCTAAAAGCCTACTTATAAATCATGGATAGACAGTTGATTCTCTTCATATAAGCTACAATAGACGCCAATATGTTATAAATATATCATAGTGACGCAAACATATTTCAAAGAAATCTCTTGAATCATGGTTATTAATGAATGGTACATGCTTTAATTATGGGGATAATTTTATTATCCCAAACATCCTGGTTACCATACTGTAATAAATTTAATATTTTGTAGCCTTTTACGAGACAAATATTATTGGTTAATTCAAACAGATCACTATGACCTGTAAGACTGATGAAGCGTGCAATTAATTATATACATAATCAATATTTTGGGAATATACTCCAAATTTATCTAAATTTTAATTTGATATTTTCAGAGTGAAATTATATCATAGAGCATTCATATGTTAAAATACCACATGATTTTGTGGATTCTATAAGACAGAAATTAAATGATATTATGTTTTAATTACATTTTATTTCATGTATCGATAAATGGAGTAAACATACTCTTTCAATCAACAAGAAGATTTTAAGATATTACAAGTAATACTCAGAAATTTTAGAAATTTTATATTGTTACTTTAAAAAAGGGTGCATTAGTCAATTATTGCCTGGTAAAATATTCTATAATATGGAGGTGCATTAAATATTAATTTAAATTCCCATAAGCTGCTCAAATGATTGATTTAATGCTAGACCAATAGCTAAATAAAAAAGAATGAAAAAGAACATCAAGATGTAAACTATTATAACCTATACAGTGTCTGGAACAGACATAGCATACCTTATACATAATGGGATAGTTGTGCTTAATCCTAATGCTTAATCCGTTTTTGTTTCTGTCAAAATATCTCATGCTTGACCATTTTGGCAGGGAGCAAACTGATTTTCAACAGGCTGGTATGTAAATTTTATACTGTTAATATATTGGGTGCTATTAGTGCAATAAGCTATCAATGCAGCTTGCCATCAGTACAAGCTAAGTTAGATGTCAAGACAGCTACAAGTACAGCAATGACATGATAAATTGAAACAAGGCATTAACATACAAAATGTTATCTCCCAGATACCAAATGCTTGACATCAACTGCTGAATGCCAAACACCAATCACCCAACACAATCCCCAAGAGTTGAAGACTATAACATTACATCACCAATCAGCTAACTGTGGTGGCGATATAATGAAAATACCATGTCAAATAATACATCATTCTGATGGTGGACCAAGTTCACCAAACTGAGCTTTTCAGAGGAGGGTGATAAAGCAAAAGTGTATGATGATTCACCGCCACAGTGGTTATATACACTAATAAAACATGGAATAACACTTCAGATCATCACGCATGGTTCAATATACAAGTCACATAAAAGAAGGTGGTAAAGTAAATTGGCATTTTCTAGAGCCAATGCTTCAGAACATCTCCAAAGAGATTCTTCATTAGATCAACCTAAAGTGCATCTAACTCAGTACTATCCATTTGACAGTAATGTAGCATAACTGCATTGTTCTCAAATAACATCACATGATTTATCACAGAACGATCAATGATTTATAAATAATGCAATTCTTGGTGATTTTGCAAAATGATTTTTCCTTTGATTTGAATTATTTTGCTTTCAATTCAGTGACTCTATTGTATTTTGTCAGCCGGTTAACAACTGTATATTTTCCAACTGATGTTGCCATGACAACTATTGTTTCACTTACGATATAACACTTATGGCAAAATTATGCATAGTACACATTATGTACAAATGGATTTTCTCTATCTCATCAATGTCAAATGTGACGATACATTGTAAGTTTTATAATACACACATTATAATACATCAAAAAGCACAGATATAGGACAGAGCTTAATTGATTTTTCTCATTCCGCACAAGCAAAAGATTTGTGTAATCTGCAATTTATGAGTCGAAAGGTGTTACAATCTCAAGTTTTTGCTCTCATGCAGTACTATTCAAGAGAGACACCTTCAGGCATTGCATCAATTTGAATTCATAGAATTCATTGACTCATACGATAAAGGACTCAACACTTCTATCAAATTTTCAAGACATATTCCATCAATTTGCGCGACAAGTTTTATCTAGCAGATGCAAAATTTATCCCATTCATCGACATTTTCCAATAAAAGTCTTAAGTTCATTGCGTATTATTCAGATATTCCGCTACAGTAATTGAATGATACTATACAGAGCCTTGTACAAGAGCTAATAGTGGCACCTCTACATGGTTGGAATATCTAAGACCCTTTGAGATATACCCAAAATTTCACTTCATTGTTGACATTTACCAACAAGTAAAAATTCAGCATTTAGTCACATAAAAAATCCTTATTTTCATTCGAATTGTACAGATTTGTAAATATGTGATATGAGGTCTGCAAATATGTTCATGTTCATAAGAAAGGGTTACATCTCATAAATGAGCCTTATGTGGAAAGAATATTGCTAGATGAATTGCAATGTTATCGTTCAATGTTGCATGAAATCTAATATATTTTGTGAGTTCATCCACGAGATCTGAGCATTGTGCAATATGGACTTAATACATTATTAGGTTTTCAACTAATCACTGTATCCCTCGTTACCCAACAAGTGTGAAATAACTCTACACCAACTTTCCAGGGACTGACAGACTGGCGGAATTTAAAGGCACACAAGGAATTGTTTGCACTTCATAAATTACAGGGAAAGAGCTACCTACTGTTTAACAATAGGGATCTAAGATTGCTGATAGCATCTATGGATCTCAAGTTTATTTTTGTTAAATTGATGCTCATTAAGATAAAATCAATGCATGGAGAGTATTACAGACATTTGATTCCAGGAATAATGTATTATGTATAGATGTAGAGTAATGGTATACTGTACATTGAACCTGTTGAGGTGAGAGCAGGATCAATATAGTCAGTGTATAGCTTTATAGTGTCAGCTATTGATGCTACGTGTGAGACTATATATGACAGTTTAGAATTTTTACAAATGTCGTCTTGCACGTTTTAATTTCTTGCATATTATTTATGTTACATCTCGTTTTCTTGCATGTTGTTTACTTGCCTAGCCTGTTTATGTGGTTTCTTATATAGTTTTTTTCTTGCATGTTTTTCTTATATAATTTTTTCGATGGGTTGTTTTCTTGTATGTTATTGTTTTCTTACATAGTTTATATTTGTATGGGTTATTTTCTTGCGTGATTTCTTTTCTTGCATATATGTATTTTTGTTTTCTTAACTGTTTTCATACATGTTGTTTTCTTGCATTCAGTTTGTCCAGTTTTTCTTGCATGTTTTATTTAGTTGCATAGAGACTTGACTTGATGGCTAAGATTATTTCTAAGAGAGATTTACAAGGGATATTTGTGATTTTTCTTTCTTCTTTCTGGCAAAATTACACATTTGTCTACATTATCTTTAATGAACATTGTAATTCAAATCGGATTCAAGTCGGAAACACTAAATAATGATAACATTTGCAGTTGCAATTTGAACTTTGATTTTCTCTCCAGACTTACCTTTAAAGTCTACTTCACCATTGCCATCTGTGTCAAATATATCAATTACACGTTGTACTAAAGGATTTTGCTGTAGTTCTGGTAGTGACATAAATTCATCTACGCTAAGAGATCCTGAGTTATCTAAATCTAGTTTTTTAAATCGTTTGCCAAGTCGTTTGATTTCATCTGCATCAACTGGAAAAGAGAGAAAATGGTTAAAGTGATATGTACAAGGGTCGATCAAAAAGTTTCTTACCGTTGGCTCTAGATTTTATAATAAGAGGAGTTGGATGCTCAAATTTTTACATGAGATAGGGTAGTAAGTTTGCTTGAGACTGGCTGAGTTTCATTTAAATTGGTTCTTTAGTAGTGACACAGAGTCAATACATATTTTCAATGATTGAATAAGGTGGAGCAGCGTTTTTTACAAAAAATTGTCCTAAGCTGCAGTTTTGGAAATTTCTAACACTAAGTAGTGTCATCTGTCAACAGACTGTAGTTTAATCATGTTTAAATAGTTTTTCTGCTAATATTCATTCTCCTTCAAAATATCAACCCCAGTTGCAATGCACTTCCTATATTTGTCCACTCGATCCAAACACACATGTTTAAGGCCTTCGTACGAGAGGTTTTAAACGATGTCGATAATTTTCCAGAACCACAACTCAGCAGATATTTTATGTATAACGCTGCTCCACCTAACCTAGTCATTGAAAATATGTATTGACTCTGTGTCACTACCAATAAACCAATTTATATGAAACTCGTACAGTTTCAAGCAAACTAACTATCCTGTCTCATGTTAAAGTTTGAGCTTCCAACTCCTCTTATTACAAAATTGAGAGCCAATGGTAAGAAACTTTTTGATCGGCCCTTGTATTGTACATGGCGTAATTGTTCAAAATGTCAAGGGGTATCGGGCATAGATGCATTACAGTGAAAAGTGGGCAATACACTCCTCTGAGAAAAAGTATAATGATCTGAAGATAACATAAAATATCAATGAGTAAAAGTAAAATAAGATAATACACAATAGGCAACATCATGATCAGATGTAAACCTTATACACCATTATAGTACATATATTATATAATTTATAAAATGTTTTCAAATACAGTAAAACCTGCGAACAGGGAATGCTCTTGGGACTGAAGGAAAGTTTCCTTGTTCAGAGGTTTTCCCTATAGAGAGGGGCCGCACTTTCAGCAAACTCAAACTTGCCGAATAAGCATATTTGTATATACATTGATTGATTGTACAAATGCTGGCTCCATACTTGGTTACGTTCTCCCCATTTTGATTTTAGCTGCTGCTAGCGTCTGATGATGTCTAGTTGATGTAATTATTGATATGATGTGTAGAGATATATTGCTAAGAAATGAAATTTCAAGTTTCATCTACACCATTTTATATCATTGATAATCTAGAAGTTGGATCAGTAAAAGATTTAAAGAGATTTGGCTCAACATGACCATGTATTTACTATCTGCTATCTCCATAAAACAATTGTGTCAGTCCCTAGATTATCACAACTGATATAATGCAATTAGGTTTTTGAAAGGAAGAATTAGTGTCATGATATGAAGTAACAAACAGATTAGTATTAGTTTTAAAATAAATCAGGGTAATTAACAGTGGGTGGGATGCTCCATCATGTAAACAATTGGCATATCTTAATCTCAATCATATTAATCCAAGCTTTTTATATTCAGATATTGGCTTAAGACTTTCACATCTCTCAAAAATAATGGAATATACAATGTCACCAATATTCCATATTCCTTGTTCACAGGTGAATTTTCATAATTTGCCCAAAAATAGTGTTCCTTATTCCCTGTTCACAGGTTTTCCCTACAGAGAGGGTCTGTTAACATGTAAGTCAATGGAAAAATATTTGGTTCTTTTGAAAAGCATTCCTTGTTCATAGGTTTTCCCTACAGAGAGGTATTCCATCGGACAGGTTTTACTGTACGAGAAAATTTCTGTACTCAAGCTCTAGCAAAAAATATTCTAGGAAATCGTATATATTCATCTTCATTATCTCTAATGGACATTGTGATTCAAGTCAGAAATATTACCTAATGAGAAAATTTCCATTAGCAATTTCAATTTTTGAAACTATTGTAAAATATCAAACAAATATCAATCAAGTACAGCATCATTGATGAATGAATTTTTCATTGTTCACTGATACAATACCTCACATTTACACATGCAATTTGAATGATTATTAATAATATAACATTAGAAAGGAGGGTAATATAGTAAAGTGTATATATTTAGCCATAATTGTTACTTCATTCATACTGTATGTATCTGGTAATGTGTATTTATAGCCGCAGAGAGATCTATGCCAATCGATAGTGGCTTAGTATAACTAATACCAATACAATGGGTCTGATACATTATTAATAGCACTAGCAATAATGCAAGCTCATCAGGTTGAAATACCTAAAGCTGCATCAACATTCAACAAAACTGCCTTTATTTATTAACCTGCACACAAAGTCTACCCTCTGCCTAATATAGAACAAAATAAGGCATTAACATACAAAATGTCACCACATCACATTTGTTACAGACACCGAATGCCAGATGCCAACCGCCGTCAAAAATGGAGACCATAACAATATGTCAACACCATTGGTGGTGACACAACAAAAATCAATTGCAAATGACTATTACAAGGTCCTGAATGTTGCAGTACTATACATACATGTACATATGTTGTAAAAAAAGTCAAAGACTTCCACATTGTTTTAAATAAATAATGAACAGGTGGATGTCTAGCAGAATGCATTTCTGTTTTGTTTTTCATGTGCATACAATTTAGACACCGAAGACCAAAGCCTATTATACACTGAAGACCAAAGGCTATTATGAACAAGATGCAGCAAAATCAACACATTGGAATGGGTTTGTCTTTCACAATCTGCAGAATTGTTGTTGTTATTATAAACAATTTTTGAACTAGATGTAACAGGCTCAGAAATGAAAAATGAGGTTTGAATTACTGTATTTACAAGAACTTTTGCCTAAGAAGATATTTTAACTTATTTTACGTAATAGTAGCAGCCGTTGAAATAACATATCAGCAAAATAAACCATCTTGTGTTTAAAGAATAGGTTAGATCAGTGATTTAAAAACATTATCAAGTGATGCTTTTATGGCATTTTTAGTCCTTCTATATTAATAATATGTGAAAAAATATATATAATCATGAAGATATTTTTAATATCATAGCATTATCCAACAACCTAATGTGCATTGTGCAATTTTTTACAATTTCAGATTTTTGAAAATTCAAAATTAAGAAAGGATTTCTATGAGAAATGCTTCAGAAAATATATTCTAACTATGATGAGTTCTACCTGTGTAGATGAACCAATCCCTTAATCTATTAATGAAACACCAGAAAGCTAAAATGAAGCATCAAGGAGCTACAATGAAACATCGAGGAGCTACAATGAAGCATCGAGGAGCTACAATGAAGCATCAAGGAGCTACAACGAAGCATCGAGGAGCTACAATGAAGCATCAAGGAGCTACAACGAAGCATCGAGGAGCTACAATGAAGCATCGAGGAGCTACAATGAAGCATCGAGGAGCTACAATGAAGCATCGAGGAGCTACAATGAAGCCAACAGAGAGATAACTGATTCATAGTACATGATAGGTACCTATGCAAGGTAATCATAAAGAATGCAATTAAATACACACTCCCGGTTGGGGGTGAACCAATTCCAAGTCAGTATGGCAGGTTGCCTCTAGCTTGTTTAACAGTATGACCTTTATGATCTAACAGAACATCCCTATACACAGTATTTAACATTATAAAAGATCAAACAAATTAATAGATTAGACAATATCAAGCAAGAAGCTTTTTTCATCATTGTGATAGCATGAAGCATTTGACAAGGCAGCATGTGTAGCCGCAAGATAACATTCCTAACAAATTGAATCCAACTAAATATGACAGGTCTTAAAGAACAAGAGATGAGTTGCAACATTTCTGAGGTCAATGTGGCTCTCAGCAAACAAGAGGCCCCTTGATATGTACACTGATATCAACATTTCGATGTAGGTGTAAGTCTTACTTAAGTCAATCAACTCACTAAGCCTCTTGTAAGTTCAATACGTCGTATAATAAAACATCGAAATTCAGAGTGTGATCACTTTGCAAAGCATCCTTTGTTGATTCTGGGCAAACAACAAGCCGAAGCAGTTATAAAGAAACTTAAAACTGTGGAGGAAGTTATTTGCCAGGTTACCTTAGAAATCAAAGAATTCACCTGAAATAAAGTCAGATTTGTTTGACTTTTTTTAAGAAAATAGGCATGACATAAGAGCAAAAAATATAAATTGTGACGATATTTTTAAAGCTTTCAGCTCTTTTCCCTTCTTCCTTTAACTGGATCTTTATCAATGGTAACTGGCTGCAAATTTGTCATAAGGATTCTATATATTGTTTATATTTTGGTTTCCGCCATATTTTGGCGAGCATTACCTCTGGTATATTTCCGTATCTTATGTGTTTTACACTCAAAGACAGAGCCAGAAACCCCTTACATATCGCATAAACAAATTGACCAACATTGCAAATGTTAACCAACTAAATTGGTGGGTCAAGTCAAGGTCAATGTGATGGAAACTCATATTCAAATAATATACCATTTGCTATATATTATATGCAGGTGGATAAATAGATGGCAAAACATGTATTAGTAAGACCGGGATATATATAACTTTTATTGACATATTGTATCATCACATGATTACATTAGTCACAACTACTCACTAAGACTAACTAAAAAGTACTTCATGATAAATAGAATGCCAAAAAAACTAATCAGTTCCTAACTTTCATACGAAGAAACATCCCAGACAAATTCAGATAAACCCTGAAATGGTTTGGCTGGAAACCTGTAGACAAGCCTTGACAAACAAAATTTTAGGATGGGAAATTCAAAATGACTGCCTTAACATTTACCCAGAATGCCCCAAAACTAATCAGTTCTCAACTTTTTTCGTGGAAACATTATCTGAAAATTTCAGATAAATCTCAACAGAGTGGCTTGAAACCTGTAGACTAAATTTTATGACGAAATGAATTGGCCGCATTAACATTTCCCAAAAATGCCCAAAAACTAATCAATTCTAAACATTCATAGAAACATCCCTGAAAATTCTATAT